TTATTACATTATATATATAGGAAGCACTAGGTGAACCTATCATACTCTTCCCATCTTTGACTTGGAGAAGGAATCAGAGAATTGTCATTGTTTAAACCAGTTGCTTTATTTCTCTACTCACACTTTCATAGCATCTCCAGAATTTTGTTCGTTCATATCTAGTAGTTGCATATTAGAATTAGATTTTAGATTAGGAAGCACTAGGTGCTATCACACTCTTCCCATCTTTAGAGCATTAAATTCAGCCCACTCAGGCCAAAAATAAATGCTTGTTCTTAGTGATGCTCTTTTTTTTTTTTTTTTTTTTTGTTGTTGATAGAGGTGGGAATATGATGTGTAGTAAAGTGATGATATTGACATGAATATACGTTTCATGATCTTTTGCCTTGGTAGATGATGAGATGTCATAATGAATCTTATATCTCCGAAGATGTAAATAATGCAAATATTGTTATGTTGTAAGAAAGGAGTTCCTTGATTTACAAGAGTTCTTTGTTTTGTATGTGCATGAAATGAGTACTTTTGTTTTGATGTTTTCTCTTATCAACTTTCTTACTATGAAACTTTGGTTGCAATATATCACATTAAAAGATGGACTTGACTTCAGGCAGCGTGAAACTTATATTTTACGTGATAACATTGGATTTAATTACATCTTAAATCTCTTGATTTAATTTACATTAGATTTGCGTTTTGACTCAGTATAACATTTTTTTCTACTTATATATTAGTTCATAGTCATACAATATTATATCCAAAAAGGAAAAATAAAAGGCAAGGGAATTGAAAGATATCAATTTAATTAGGTTTATATTCACTGAACCTTTAAATCATACTCTACAAGAAAATTCTTTATGCTCACTTTTCACCTTTTATTAAGTAGTCGATCTTAAATAAAAATAAAAAATATAAAAAAAATCAAATCTTCCTCTTCATCCACCAATTTTTTCCTCACAATAATCACACTTAAAATCATGCAACTAAAAGCCCCACCATTTCTACTCACCCAATTAAATCAAAAAGTTTCACACTTCTCCTCAACTCAATCACTCTCTCCATGAATGTAAGTTAAAGACAAACCAGTAACCTGAATGTTTTACCTAATACATGAAGAAACTTTATTTGTACTAAACATGCATTACTTTTATACCAAATGTGCGTATTTTTTTAAATAAAATGTGCATTCATACTCTTCTATTTATAAAATAACACTCTTATTTAAAGATTCAACAAGTCAAGAATTAAATATAAATAAATAGTTAATAAGCCACATAAGGAGTTAATTCATCCTAAAACATGAACATGAATATCTTATTGTTTTTAATCTTCATATCTTATGCTAGCTTGATTTTCTTCATGCCTTAAGTCACTCTTGTCTCCATAAAAATGATTATAAGCCGATAATCAAACCTGCATACATTAAAAAAAAAAAAAAAAAAAAAAAAAGAGTATATTTTGAGAATTTACATTAATTTTTAAACAAAAAACCCCAAAAATAACATGTTTATAGATATGAGAATCGAGAGTAAGAAACATTTACCATGTTTAAGATACTTTTTTGTTTGGACAGTTACGACTATCATGATAATCATAAGCCCCACATGCTTTACAGTTCCGCTTGGGTTTCTCACTCTGCTCGATTATCTTCTCCCTTTCTCCTACTATTCTATGCCTCTTGCCTTTGTTCTTTGATTGTATAGGATTTTGTATGTTGAGAGTACGTAGAAGATGCACTAGGGCCAACAAAAAGCTCCATCTCCTGAGTTTTTGTCATTTGAGTACTTGTAGCTCTTTCTACCAAATTCTTACTAAACTCTCTAAGAGTATTGAGAAGAATTTGCAAATCTTCCTCATTTCTCTCTGCAAGGCTTACACTATTAAAAATTTCTAACCACAACTCCCCTAACATCTTACTTACCAAGTTCATCTTTCTACAATCTTCAAGGAGGTTACCATTCATATCAAAAATTGGCCTTTTAGTTGCCTCTTTTGTCCAACGATCAGCAATGTAGTACTCTGGAATCTTTGTAATCTGTCTTGCACCTAAAACACAAATTGCATAAAATTCCCAATATCTTAAACAACTTGCAAGAACATGATGTCATTAGATTTCTAGAATTATATATTACTTCATGAGTCTTTTTTGCCAAGCCGAGTCCATGACACTTATTGTTTCTATATGCTCTTCATCCCTTTCTTATATCAACTATCCCACATCCGAAACAAGCTTTATACACCTCTTCCTGAAACATATAGAACATAGTACGGGTATAAACTTCAGATGCATGTTCTCCAAAGGCAACGGAGTTTGAAACTGAGGAACAGAGTGAACTGAGTCTGTATTCATCTTATCTTGCTTGTATCTTTGTGCATCCATTTCATTCTCAAAACGCATGTAAAACTCAACAAGTGTCACATGTGGATTGGTGAAGTTGTTGAAAAAACTATTTGATTGAAAATATGTGTTTGAACCACTCATTCTCTTGAAGTTTATATTTAATCATTATAGAGTTCCACGTGGCTTCAAACTCTTGTGGTTCTTGCTCCATGTCCCATACACATGCATTCAATAATGTGAGGAAGTCTTCATCTTGTTTGAACTCAAGGTTTATTTTTTCAGGCACTTTTTTCATTACGTTCCACATACAAAGTTGGTGACGAGTGGTGAGAAACGCATCACTTATTGCAAATGAGCAGATAATTTTTTGACAAATGAGCAACTAATTTTTTGACAAATGAGCAAACAATTATTTGTTCATTTGTCAAATGAGCAAATAATTTTTTAATCATTTATCAAATGAGCAAATAATTTTTTGTCTATTTGACTATTTTCCGAGACTGTTTTTTTGTGTCAAAAAGGAAGTTTCATGTAAAAGCTAAGATTTTTTTGATTGATATTTACAACAAATCACAAGTTATAGAAGCGCATAATAATTCTTTGTTCATTCTTTGCTTATTTGTCAAAATGAGCAAACAATACTTTAAGAAATAGCAATTCAAAAATTTTAGATGAAATATGTCTCTGTGGGCAGATTGGTATAAGAGGGATCATAAAAAAATTTAGACTTTATTTCTTCTTCTTTGATGACTTCATCCCAAAGCCTTTACACTAGTTATAGCTCTAATGGATGTTGCAGGGCCTTTTCTTGAGACTGCCTTGAACAAGAAATGTTCAAAATCTCATCAGATAATGAGACTAGTATTGTTTCTGCTTGGATTGCAGTTTATAGCCAAGTATTTACTAGTTTAAATTGTAAGCCTATTAGCTTAATTGGTCGAGCATTGTGTTTTTACATTGCACGGAAGATGTAAGTTCAAATCCTACATATGCTACTAGTTTAAAACATGTATAATTGTACCCAATTGAATGAACATCATCACCCTTGTTACATAATAGGAAGTTAACACACAAATTCTACATACTAGTTTCATGATCCTTGCTCGTTGGGCCACTCCTAAATATCCTTGTACTATACTACTCTTGACAACATCTTGCAAGCTAAGTAATCAGCTACCATATAGCAAGCACTCACACAAATAATCAGATACACATCACTCAATTACATTATGGGTTTCACTTGATAAAGTTAATTTTCAAAAGAATTTGTTTAAGGAAATACATTGATTTGAAAAGTAAATCATAGACCCAAAAAATTATGGTTATACAGGGCTTCACTGAGTTCCACTCTTACATCGCTTACATAATTCTATCTTTACAGTTGAAGTTCAAAGATATTTGAAAAAATCGTTTATGAAAAAATAATAATTAATAAATGAAGAGTATTATAACTCAATTAGGTTGTTGTTGAATTGTAATTTGAAGAACATCTGGATTTCAATCGATTCCACCAGTAATACGTTAATCAGAGGTTTTATTTGTTTTCATTTTGTTTTCCCCTTGATTTCTATAATTTAAAGGTCCGATAGAAATCGAAATCATAACTTGACAACAAAATAAATCTATAAATTCAATGAAAATTTGAAAATAATCAAAATTGAAGATAAATATGGAATTTGAGATGAGAGAGATTACTGATGGAAATTAAGAACAATCAATTATGATTAACAAATCTCAATCCAAAAACCAAATTAAGAGTAAGAAGCTCGAAAACTACTGATGGAAATTATGTACTTGTGAACAAGAGGAGAGAAAAAGTGTTAGCCTTTGAATTTTCTAACTGGGTGCCATTGATGGACCTTCAAAGCTTGTGGAAAGATAGATAAGCTGGGTATTCAATCTTAGAAAGAGAAATATGCGTGGGCTTTTTTTGGGGAGGGGGTTTATTTGATTAATCTCACTTGTTACATTTAGTGCTATCTAACGGTTGTGATTTATTTTCATATAAGATTGAGTTCTCACATAAAGACATGTTCTCACCGGATTCCAACCATATATATATAACCATTCATGATTGAAGGAAACTTGATTCATGACACCTAGTATATACGACTATAAAAAGTTACAAATTCTTAGATAAAATAGTTTAGTTGTCACCTTCAATTAATTTTTAAAAAGTATGAACAATAAAATCCTTTAGTTATAAAAGGTTTTTTTTTTTCTTTTTTTTTTTTAAAAAAAAAAGTCAAATGTTTAATATGTTTAACCAAAATCATTTCATCGAATCATTTGACACATATCTACACTTTTATACATATAATCGAGACTTATTAAAAACGAATGATAAGAAATAAAGGGTGTTCGAGAAATTTTTTGAAGATATTTCAAGACACATAGGGATATAGGGTACATGAAGCAAAGTCATGAACCAAAAAAAAAAAAAAAATAGTACATGAATGTGACATTTCTCTCAGTTATTACAGTAATTATCTAGGCTAACATTAACCACATTAAACCTTGTCAATACTACGGAGTACTGTTTTTGACTAAATACACAAATTGACAAACACCAAAAATATAAAAAGTTTGTCTTTTCCCCATGTTTTATTTATTATTAATTTATCATGTGTTGCTCAGATTTACTTAATTTCATACAAGTATTTTTTTTTATTTCTACCTTATTATAAAATCAAAAAATAAAATCTAAAATCTCTGCATTTTACAGAGCTTATACAAGTACTATAGCTTATACTACGTATAAAAAAAAAGTTGTGATCTTTTTTGTACTTCATTTTCATCATCAACTCAAAAACATGTTAACTTCAAGGCTAATACCCACAATCAAGCCAAATCTGAATGATCCATCAGAATTTCACCGGAGATTCACCGGAGTAGGAATCTCCGGCACCGGAAAAAATGCTAGAACAGCCACTAGGAAGATGACACGTGGGATGAGGGTGAGAGCAGTAATCAGCAATGGTGACAGGACAGTGGAATCTGGTGCACCCTCAACAATGGAGGTAAAAGAGGGAAGTGGGCCCACTTTATTGGGTGCTTCTGAAAGTGGGTTTGTTAAAGTCAAAGCAATTGTTAGTATTAAGAAGAAGATTAGGCAGAGATTAGTTGATAAACTTGAAGATCAATGGTTTAATTTTCTTAATAATATTGGTCAAGCTATTTTTCTTCAGCTTATTAGTGAGCAGATTGATCCTGGTTTGTTTTCTCTCTCTACTTTTTGTTTAATTTTCATTTTTTAGTGTAAATAATCTTGTGGGTTACTTTATTATTGTTGGTTTTGATATTTACTAGCCAAAGGTGCAACCTTTGTATGGTAGGGTTACTGGGTTAGGGCCGCAGGGGTGTTAATGAGTCGAGCTTGCTTGTGAATTACTTGAGGGCAGGAAAAACCCGAATTTTTTAGATTGGTAACATGTAATATTAACTAGAAAGAAACAACCACCCACAATTTTATGAAGTTGGGGGTAATGATAATTGAGTCCGGAGGTGGGAGCTCTACCATTAAACTCGCAATTGATTAATTATATAGCATACATGTATAAAGGTTGTTTGTGAGTCCAGGCCACTTTGGTAAAAGATACAAAAATAAAAAAAAATTGAGATTTTTGGTGTATGGTGTTTTTTTGTTTAAGCTAAACTTGAGACATTAGGTTAATTGCTAAGATTTGTGAATAGTAGGGTTATCTTTTGGGATAAGGGTTGAGATTTGCACGATAAGTATTTACAAATTTCAATATTAAATAAGTGACATTAGGCAAAAATATTATAGATAAGTGACCTGCTTCCTAATTCCTATAATAAATTTTAATGTAAAAATTAAAAAATGTGATGTTTGTAAATTCATCTAGCTCCATTTAATAGCTAGCTAGTGGAAAATTATTATTTTGTTAGTTGCTAATTTGGCTAATAATGTATGAAATTTGGTGCATGAATCTGATTTGTTTATGATTAAAGTCTTAATTTGTAATTTGTACTAAATACTTTGTGTTTCGTGTCATGGATGATCCAATTAGATGCTTTCTGATATGAAGATCTGTTGGTTAATAATTTAGTTTTTTAATTTTTAATAGTTTGACAAGAGGAAGAATCATGGATTATTCTTGTGTGATTTGTAGATACCAATTCAGGAAAGAGTGTAGAGGGTTACGTGACCGAGTGGCGGCCTAGTTCATCAGAACTGCCATACATTGAAGAATATACTGCCAGTTTTACAGTTCCTTCTGACTTTGGTATTCCTGGAGCAATTCTCGTTACGAATAAGTATAATAAGGAGTTCTATTTGGTGGAGATTGTTCTTGATGGATTCGATAATGGACCTGTTTACTTCCCGGCAAATTCATGGATTCATTCCTGTAATGACAATCCTGAGAGCAGAATTATCTTCAGAAATCATGTAAAGTGTCACATTTTGTTTTGTTTGTGTGTTTTTCGGTTGCATTGTTTAATTTGTATGGAGTATACTGTTGCGAGGACTTGATAGTGTATCTGATGTTACACTGAATTTTTGTTTGTGAAGACATACTTACCAGCACAAACACCGCCTGGCATAAAAGATCTACGAAGGGAGGACTTGCTTAGTCGTCGTGGTGATGGGAAAGGAGAAAGGAGGTTACATGAGATGATTTATGATTATGCTCCATATAATGATTTGGGAAATCCTGATAAAGATGATGACCTCTTTAGGCCTGTTCTTGCTGGCTCTGAACGACCTTATCCAAGGCGTTGTCGCACTGGAAGGCCACCTATGAAATCTGGTATAGCTGCTCTCCCCCATCCATATACTGCATTAGTGTTTGTAAGTTTAAGTGACAAGCAATATGTCTGGTAGCATTTAATCAGTAGCAATCCAGTTTAATAAGGATTGGACAAACAATCTATGCATTTGGGACCATTTGATAAGTAAATCGGTTCAATAAGAGAACAGGTCCTGTGTGGATATAGATAATAAGGCTTGGATTATGGATGAATTAGCTTTTCAAACTTAGAACACTCAAATATCTGGTACTTTTTTTCTTGATTTTGATTGTTCTGTATTGGAAATTCATGCAGTTCCGATATGTGAGAGTAGAATTGAGAAACCTCATCCAGTATATGTTCCTCGTGATGAAGCTTTCGAGGAGATGAAGCAGGCAACATTTGCTACTGGAAGACTGAAGGCTGTTTTACACAATTTGGTGCCTCAGATTGCTTCTGCTTTGGCTAGTTCGGATATCCCATTCACCTGCTTTTCTGACATTGACAACCTGTATATCAAAGGTTTTATGGTACCAGAAGACAATGTGGCTGAAAAGATTAATAGCATAAAGAAATTGCTCAACATGAGTACTACACTCTTCAAGTATGATGTCCCTGCTGTTATCAAAAGTATGTCTTGTGCTCTATCTCATAGCAACTTTATTGAAGGTTAAATATGCTCTTGGTCCCTCTTGTTCTTCCTATGCTTAATTTATTTTCGGCTCCCAGGTGATAGATTTTCTTGGCTGCGGGATAATGAATTTGCACGCCAGGCTTTAGCAGGAGTTAATCCTGTGAACATTGAACTACTAAAGGTAGCTTCAAAATTACTTAAGACTTTATATTTGTCTCAGAGATGAACTATAAAGGTCAATAGAGTTTCCTAAATAACTGATGTTATGGTTTAGGAATTTCCTATCACGAGCAAATTGGATCAAGCAGTTTATGGCCCTCCAGAATCAAAGATCACGAAGGAAGTACTTGAGGGAGAACTGGATGGAATGAGTGTCGAAGAGGTACTGATTTACATCCCGTTTTGGTGGCTTTAGCTTCTGTGATTATTGGTGGCTTTAGCTTCTGTGATTATTGGTGGCTGATAGCAAGGAATTACTTTCCAAATAATTTGACTCGAGGAATTACTAATCCAATATTAGCAATGTAATAAATTATCATAACCTCTTACTGATTAAGCTCCTTTTTGCCATGCCGATGCAGGCCATTGAAAATAAGAGGCTGTTTATAATAGATTATCATGACCTCTTACTTCCTTTTGTCAACAAGATAAACGACTTACCAGGAAGAAAAGTATATGCTTCTAGAACAATTCTTTTCTATACCAGTGCCGGGACTCTTACACCTGTTGCTGTTGAGCTTTCGCTTCCTCCCACTGATTCTTCCCCTGCATTTAATCGCGTTTATACTCATGGACATGATGCTACAAGCTATTGGATCTGGAAGTTGGCGAAAGCCCACGTTTGTGCAGTTGATGCAGGCGTGCATCAACTAATAAATCACTGGTTTGTTTTCATTATGATTACTGTAATAAATGTGTTTTATGTCACTACTATTATGCATCTCAACTTATAACCGAGACTTCAATTTTAGCAAACAGAAGATGCATGATATCATCATTTTTCTGATCTCGAGTCGATATGTGGTTGTTAGGTTGAGGACTCATGCTAGCGTGGAGGTTTACATAATTGCTACTAATAGACAGCTGAGCCAAATGCATCCTATTTACAAGCTCCTGCATCCACATATGCGATACACTATGGAAATCAATGCCCTTGCTCGACAGAGCTTGATCAATGGAGGAGGAATCATTGAGGCCTCTTTTACCCCTGGAAAATATGCTATGGAGATCAGCTCTGCTGCCTACAAAAGTATGTGGCGGTTTGACATGGAGGCACTGCCAGCTGATCTACTTCGAAGGTGAACTATTTACTCACATGACTGCTATCTTATTTCCACTTGCTTCATGCACCTTTGCCTCCTTTCATTCTTTGAACCTTAGTTTACCAAATATATGTCTCATACAACCAAACTGAACCTATGTGTTGAGGACAGTTGGGTGCTGTACTGATAACTGTATGATTTTCCAGGGGAATGGCAGAAGAGGATCCCACAGCACCCTGTGGAGTGAAACTGGTGATTGAAGACTACCCTTATGCTGCTGATGGCCTTCTCATATGGTCTGCCATCAACGAATGGGTTGAATCCTATGTTTCACACTTCTACCCCGACTCCAGTGCCATCACCTCGGATGCTGAGCTCCAAGAATGGTGGAAAGAGATCAAGGAAAAAGGCCATGCTGACATGAAAGATGAACCTTGGTGGCCTAAACTTGAATCCAAAGAGGATTTGACCAGAATACTGACTACAATTATTTGGGTTGCTTCAGGTCAACATGCAGCAATAAACTTTGGACAGTACCCTTTTGGAGGGTATATTCCAAACCGTCCTACCCTCATGCGGCAACTTATCCCTCAAGAAAATGATCCCGAGTTTCAAAAGTTCCTTAAGAGTCCCCAAGCTACATTCCTCTCGTCTCTACCTTCTAAACTTCAAGGTACTAAAGTGATGGCCGTCCAAGACACATTGTCAACACATTCCCCAGATGAAGAGTATCTGGGGCAGGTGCATGGTCATTGGATTGATGACCAACAGGTTAGAAACATGTATGAGAGATTCGCCTCTCGTTTGAAGGAGATTGAAGAGATAATACATCGAAGGAATAAGGATTTTAGTCTGAGGAATAGAACTGGTGCTGGTGTCCCTCCATATGAGCTGCTTCTACCCACTTCTGGTCCGGGAGTCACTGGCCGTGGCATCCCTAATAGCATTTCCATCTGAACAGGAACCACTATTATACTTCGAATTCTTTTGTAAAAATTTGCTAAATATTCTGGCAAACCTTTCTTGAAATAATTTTTCCATTATGAAGATATGCTGTCTATCATTAACTCGCATAGTTATCAGTTTTGCGAAATAAAACGTGGAATGGTGCTGTAAGTTGATTGGCTTAATGAACCCCTTCCAGAAAAAGTTGGGCTCTAATTTATTTCATTTATGTTGCAGTGAATTCTTTCAAACATTGTACAAACTAATCCACTGGGGACAATGCAATTAAGAAGATAAATCGGTTTTGAAGATATGAAATTCTGAACAAAGATTATGATCAAAGAACAAATTGAATCATCATATTTCATCAACGGCGACTGAGAAGTCCAGTTGATTAGAACAATTTAGAGTATATTTCATCAACGGCGACTGAGAACTCACGGGTTCAGGCAAGAAGCAATCCAACAGACTATATTACAAGTGGGACGAAAGGTTAAGCAGCCAAATATAATTTGACTTCACCACCATCTAAAGTATATTTCCAACAAAAAAAAATAAAAAACCAAATCCAAGGTTTTCCTAAGGTTTCATACTTGTAGAGCTCTTCTTAGATGTGTGCTAGGCAGCACAAAGCCAGCTCTTCTTTCCTCAAATGAGTATTCTATTTCTTCATCCTTTTCTCCTACCAAATTATCACCAAAAAGAGGTTTCGGAGGAGCTGGTGTCATCAATGTTTGCATAGGAGCTGAAACTGTCATTGGCGTTGTAGGTGGAGGGAACAACATTTTGTTGGGAGTGTGGTTTTCTTCATCACCAGCTGGGATCTTCTTTGAAGGAGTAACTAATGAAATGTTACTTAAACTAGCTACTTTCTGGGATATCTCATTTTTGGCCAGAGATTTCGGCACACTGTTGTTTTGCAGTATGTTCTGATCGTCAAAGAAATCTCCATTTGCTCTTGATGATGCTACAGAAGAAATAGGGGAGAAAGGTCTTCGTGCCACAGTAGTAGGGTCAGATTCACGACCACTGAATGTGAAGTTTCTAGTCGGGAGATTGGCAATGTCTAGTGCCCTCCTCGCTACAAATAATGAAACAAATGATCGAACATTAGCAGTTGGAACAAGGAAATGTTAGCTCAAAAAAACATCTCTCAAACTTTTATCACATATCAGAAAATAGATATAATTGGTTGATCAGCCTTGATCTGAAGAAGAACTAACCAGTTGATTGTCCTCCATTGTTGTCATCCTTTCTGACAGAACGGGAATTCGGTGTTGCTCTGGTTGAGTGGGATGAATCAGGCCTCGGAGTTTGGTGCATGTTACCTCCTACAGAGAGCCTTCGATTTGGTCCTCCTCCTGGACCTCCCATAGACATTCTTCGGGAAGGCTTCTTGGCACTTTTTAATGGGCTTGGTTTTGAGCCAAAAAGTGCCTCTTGCTCCGTAATTATTTGCCCTTGGAGTTTCTTCTGTTCCTGAAATTCGAGACAATAATACACATGCATATAAACACCCATATTTAGGCTTTAGTATTAAGCTAACAGCTTTTTCAATAAGTACTTGGAATCAAAGAATGGGTCAAAGTAAGATGCTATGCATACCCTTTGCCTTTTCTTTTCTAGCTCCTTTTCTTGCCGCAATATCATATATTCCTCAAGCATGGAAAGAAGACGAACCTGATTGATAAACACGAGCTGAGTTACAATTGACTGACAAGGGAAGATAACACAAAATAATAGTATTAGAAAATATGTACTTACACCATCATACATAAATTCAACACCTCTTTCATTCTCCCAGCTATGAGCTTTTGCGGCCAGTGCCTCCACCATTCCTGTGTGAGCATCAAAGGTTAATCAAACTTTTAAGCAATTACCAAATATTCTTTCTACAATGCAGGTATTAGATACATACGACATCAGCCTAATCCTTACTATGAAATCATTTGCACATGACATATATCACCATATTTACCTGGAAGCTTGTTGACTAGTGATCGAGCTTTTTCAGCACGCTTGAGGGTGAGATGAGCACCTCTGCTTGCATTGTACCGGTTGTCGTCCTAAGGTGACAGAGAGAAGGATTAACCATCAATGTGAATGTTGGAGGTAAGACAATGAGCTTGTAAATGCTTCAAGATAACAAACATTACCTGATTATATTGTTCAAGCCACTCCTCCTCCTCACGGGCTGATAACCACTTTTCAACCCTTTCAAGTATTTCTTTGCGGCTATATGCTTCTTCCTTGACCTTGGAAACTTCCGATTCAATTTGTTCGAGAACAGAAGCAGGATCCAAAGCTCCTAAAAAGGAAAAATAATTAAGTATTCTATAAGAGAAAAGTACAAAGCAAAGCAATCTATAATTGTTGATGGTATGATCAATTCTACAGCCATTGAGAAGAAGCATATGGAGGAACCAATGCAATATGCAATACAAAGTCTTATAACCATTATGTAAAGCGTGATACCAGATTCTATTGCTTCCATGAGATGTTCTGTTTCACAATCTGCTTCCGGAACTAAGTGTGTCTTCCTGCAAATCTCTTCTAGTTCTGTTCTCTTCTTCATGACAAGTTCTTTCATCTTGCTTGATTTCAGCTGTTCCAATCTTGAAACTTCTGCCTCAACCTGCATAAGTCATTTATGCTTGCTGGTTAATATTTAAGCATTTGTTGTTTTAACTATTATGATAAAGATCAAAATGATGATCCTCCAAAATGCAAGTACTTGAATTGCGATAAAGTTGCACTAGTATTGTGAAGTACACGTTTTCATATTGTATTGATACTACAACACAACATGTATGCTAACAAAGCAGATTTCTTGTTGCATGGTTGATGTAGAACAACTTATACTTTGGATAAAAATCAATGAAATAAAACGATTTATAATTTGGATAAAAAAGAGTATTATATAAGAAGTCTAGCGCTCACATATTTTATGCAGTCTTCTGAAAGGACGTTGGGCTCAATTATCTCATCTTCAGATGCAGCAATATTGCATGTGACATGTTGAAAAGGTTGTTGCTCCTCAAATGGTGTATCCATTAGATTCCAAAGCTCGAACAACATTGTTGCAAGATCTTGTAGCTGAGCCATTTCAGTTAAAAAGAACATATATGATGAGTAAATAAGAAATTGGAAAGACAAGAACTAATCCAATCAAAAATGTTTAATGTACCGCACCTTCTGCATCCTCTGAAGCTTAAGCTCTCGCAACCTAAATATAGCAGACTCCAGCTGCTTAAGTGTTTCATTACTTATGCTATGTGATTCTTCAGAGTCAGCTAAACTTGGATGAAGTTCTCTGACAGTTCCCTTAAAGTCCAACCCAAGGACAGAACATAATGAACTCAAATCATTCAAGTGTTCCATGACAAGCCTCAGGCGATCACTCTGCAAGTTGAAAGAGCGTGGCAGAATTAATACAAATAAACACTAACTAAAGTTTTGAACCTATTAAAAGGATGGACAATGAATAGAATAATTCACCTTCTCCTTTTGTAGGGACTGCAGCTTGTTTTGCAATTCTTCAAGTCTTCTCAGAGACAGGTCATTTTCATCTATAACAACTGTGGAACTATCATATCCTGACAGTCCATATATTTCAGTGGACACCTTTTGGATCTGTCCAATGACATCAACAAATTGATTTTTCCTTTCGATTTTGCTTTTTCGCATCTCTTCTAGCTGTGGAAGAATGGCATCTAGCTCTTCCTTTAGGCTTCCAGTTTTTTGTTCAGTCTGAAAAGTTAACTCAATCGGGTCATTCCTCTTTACTAGACAGGTAAAAAATCATAGTGCAGAGGTTTCTGTGCCCAAGTCCTAAATACCCGTTTTGATTATTCATTTTCAGTGAAAATTTTTAGTCTGATAGCAGATTGTTGATCAAGTTTACTACACAGATTCTTCATGTGATCAACAATTAGATCTTGAAAGTGGAAATATCTGAATTGTTGAAGCATTTAAAACTTGCCTAATCGAATAAAATTTTCGTGCATCAGTCCATGGACATATTTCTGAAGACTGAAACTGATCTATGGAGCTAAATAAAGGCATAGAGGAAACAATGGTGACTAATAAAAGTATACAAAAAATGAAAAAAAGGGTATCAATTCAATGTATACATGTATGATCAAGTACTAGAATTCATTACCTGTCGAATATGGACTGGCCTCTCACCCATTGCAGAACAAATGGCGGCTAGCTCCGCCTCAGAATCAGCAATAGCCTGCAATAGCTGAGCTCTGCAGCGGTTAGCCTGATCAACTTTTCTCCTGTATACCTCAAGGCACTCTTGCTCCAGCTCAAGTAACATCTTATCACGAGCGGTTTCAGATTCACCAACCTCATCCCATATAATCTGAACACAATAAAATAACAAACAACTTCAATCGCCTATATATTAAATCACAACGATACAACTGTCAACACTGCATCAAAATATTCACAAATTATACCTGAAGTTCATATAATAGAGATCCACAGGTCGTTTCCACTTGTGTAATCGGATCGGTCGGGACCACAGCCATCTTAATTCACCACAGAAGCACAACCCTACAGCCTAATTAAGGAGAAAAAATCAATGAGAATTTCAATTGAGCATAGCAGAAGCTGCTCAAGTAAGGCACTCCTGGACTAGAACCATTAAGTACTAAATCATGAATTATATTATCTATGTACTATCAAATAATTTGGACCATATATTATATTATATAAAACATACATCAAATTAACCAAATATGATATAGAACTCAATTAATTAGTCAAATCACTCAACACCACCAAGAGTGACTTTACAATAAATCAAGTCAAGTATAGTAAACTAGGTTATAATTAGTACTCTCTCTCCGGAGATATGTCATGTATTCCCAAAAAAAGTTGTAACCTCTCCTAGAACAGTAAGGGTTCGTGCTCAATTACCCCGATTATTACAAAGGTTATTTCAGTAAACAATGATATTTTCCCCTCCATTTCCATAAATAGAAAATTCAACATCAATTTAAAGAAATACAAATTCATCTGAAAATTTCCAATTATACATATACACCAGAAAACCAAATAAACTTAAGAATTGAAAAATTCCCAACAAAAAATTCAAATTGAAAAAGAAACAACAATAAAGAAAACACAATACCTCAATATAACTGGAAATAAATTACTCGTATACACAAATCCTAATTTCCAGTAATTACCCAGATCAATCATATCCCTAAAAA